TATATATATTTATATATTTTTTTTTTTTTTTTCTATATATATATATATATATTTTTTTTTTTTTTTTTTTATCTCTCTCTCTCTCTATATATAGAAAGAAAAAAAAAAAATATATATATATATACACACACACACACACCAAACATATATATATATATATATATATATATATATATATATATATATATATATATATATATATATATATATATATATATATATATATATATATATATATATATATATATAAAATTAAATTAAAATTAAATTAAATATTCTTAAGGATAAAATATGATGTGTTCTTTGGAGTAGTGTACTTGCATTGTGATGACTTTATATTTTCTTTCTGGCATTATATATCGAGTGGCATAAAATGGTTTTAAAATAACAATAATATAGTTTATTGCAATATATTGTACAACAAAAAATAGATATCATACCAGGCCTATTGATGTCAACACTTTCTCAAAATATAAAACCTAAATAGCATACAACTTTCAAAATATCACTGTTATTCTTTAATTCATTTTATAAAAATTAAGGCTTTACTGACATATTTTAGAAAATTGTACTGGTTTAAAAAAACCTTGGAAAAAAAACATTATATGTATGCAGTAGTCAATATTTGAAGTGGATCAAAATCTTTATCAAAGTTGTCCTAAAACTATTGAACACCACACATTCTTGGGGACAATTTAGAAAATAATTTCCCCATACTTTAAATGTTGACTACTATGTGTATGTGTATTTATTTATTTGTTTGTTTTGTACATGTAACATTTAATTCCATTAAGGTTTTAACGCAACACCTATTAACATTAATGAATATAAAGTCCTATCATTTCTATAAGTCACGATAGAATGATTTAAAACTTATATTTGGGATAAAAAATGACCTCAACAAAGAACGAAAGACCTAATTTTGAGCCCAAAACTAGACTAAATAATTTTCAGCCCAACTAAGAATGTAAACAATTACATGAATCACTGAAGCAGGTTTGCGCAGCAGTATTGTTTTTTTTCATAGCCTGATTCTTTATCTTTAATCTACAGCTGTCATGTGTCAGGCTGAATGGCATGATGAGGGCAGGTTGTTTACTAGTGACCAAAACTCGTCACTCACGCCATTACATAACTGCACAAAAACTGAAATGCAACACAAAAATAAATAAAAATAATAACATTGCCTGAAAATGTAATAATGTTTCCAGATGGCTGATTAATATTGTCACTGAACTGCCATAATGACCTTATCCTTCAATGCGGAAGAGTGCTCGTTTTTGCGATTGTTTTAGAACGCAAATGGAAGAAATGACTAGGAATAATAAACGGCAGAAAACGGTCAAACTGCTTGCTCTATAAACAAGTGTGTTCATGACTATACATAATTAGTAGAATAATATGACAAGAAAATATCAGTTTGCAACATGAAACAGCAAAACAAGCAGTTTTTAACGTCTAGAAATCAATGGAAGTGAGAGCGGAAGTCGAGCCTAAGAGACTCCAATGGCTGCACGCACTCATACGTGAAGAATAAGGTCAAATAAACGAGTTTCAACAGCAAACATACTCGTGCAGGTCCGATGATCATGCCCGTCCACCGTGTGAGAGTCATGTCCTCGTCATCCTCCAGACCCCAGCTCACCGTCCCATCTCCAACACCCTTCTGTCCTTCCTCAAGCTCTTCCAACAAACGAAAATTACGAGGGACTTTAACTCCTGCAGGAAATGATAAAAACAAACATCTGTGGTTTACATTTGAAGTAGGGCTGCCCAATATATTGTTTCAGCATTGATATAGCAATGTGCGCATCCGCAATAGTCGCATCATAAGATGTGCGATGTTGAGTTAGGATTATAATTAACTAAAAATCACAGTCCAGTTCACATGATTTGTTGAGTTATTGTGAATTTCAATCATAAATAATTTGTGTGAAAGATTTTTACTCAGATGTGTTTTTAAGCCCTATCACCGAAAGATTTAAAACAAATTCAAGAACAAGGAATTATGAAGTTGCCAAATGAAGACGGTGTTATTTTAGATTTAAGAATTGAATTTATTTACCTCAATATTGCAATATTCCACCAAAAACCATAAAGCATTGTTTAATTAGTATTTAATCGTGCTTTAATTTCTTAATTAGATTTTTTTATATACTTTTGGATATTTTATGCAGATGCACTCTCCAACAAAATCATTCCACTCAATGTAAAACAATGTAAAAACTCTTCCCAAATATTTAATTGGGTAATATTGTTAAACTTTATTCATATTGCAATATTAATTTATTCATTCATTTTCTTTTTGGCTTGGTCTCTTTATTAATCCAGGGTTGCCACAGAGGATTGAACTGTCAACTTATCCAGTATATGTTTTTACACAGCAGATGCCCTTCCAGCTGCAACCCATCTCTGGGAAACATCCACATATTGCGATATTTTGTTTTTATAGGTTCGCGTTAATCATTGGAATATTCATACTCTGAAAATTACATAAGAAGGTAAAAAAAAGCTGATAAAATAACAGAAAATATCATCTTTTATGTATTCAATTAAATTAGATCACACTTTATATTAAGTGGCCTTAACTATTAGTTACTTGTGACAAATAATAAGTAAAATATAAAACTACTGTGGTCAAAAGGTTATGGACAGTTAAGGTCGCATGGGTAGGTTTAAGGGTAATTTAATGTGTAAGGATGGTCAACAGAGCAATTAAAAACTTAATTACAAATATACAGTTTAATATCAAAATAATTAAACCCCTTTTGAATTTTTTTCTTTTTAATTATTTCCAAAACAATGTTTAACAGAGCAAGGACATTTTCACAGTATGTCTGATAATAATTTTTTCTTCTGGAGAAAGTTTTATTTGTTTTATTTTGGCTAGAATAAAAGCTGATTTCAATTTTTTAAAAATCATTTTAAGGTCAAAATTATTAGCCCCTTTAAGCTATATTTGTTTTGATTGTCTACAAAACAAACCACCGTTATACAATAACTTGCCTAATTACCCTAACCTGCCTAGTTAACCTAATAAACCTAGTTAAGCCTTTAAATGTCACTTTAAGCTGTGTATAGAAGTGTCTTGAAAAATATCTAGAAAATATTATATAAATATATTTTTTAAATAAATCAGTTATTAAAAACAAGTTATTACAACTATTATGTTTAGAAATGTGTTGAGAAAAATCTCTCTGTTAAACAGAAATTAGGGGTAAAATAAACAGGGGGGGCTAATAATTCAGAGGGTTTAATAAATTTGGATTGCAACTGTAATAACAGATATAATTACATGAATATAATTTAAAAAATAAGCAAAATGTAAAACTACTTATGTGAAAAGTTATGGACATGTTTGTTGATTTTGGTAGGTTTAAGGGTAATTTCATGTGTAAGGAATGGTCAACAGAGTAATTAAAAATGTAATTACAGAAATGAATTACAGATATAATTACATGAATATAATTTTAAAAATAAGCACAATGTAAAACTACAGTGGTGGAAAGTTATGGACAGGTTTGGTGGTATGGGTGGGTTTAAGGGTAATTTAATGAATAAGGAATGGTCAATGGACTAGTTAAAAATGTACGTACAGGTATAATTACATGATTTTTTATAAGTACAATGTAAAATCTTGTATGTGCACAATAGGTGCATTTTACAAAATGATTAATTTTAATGTAAATGCATAGTAATCAGAGCCACTTAATTGCTAGGGCCGCTTAAAAGCTTAATTTATTATTAAATGCATGCATTAATGCTCATGGTTCATTCAGTTTAATTTGACCAGTGAATTCCTATGATTAAACATTAAATAAGAAATTTAGCTTTTAATTGTGCTACAGATTTTATTTCTTGAGTTTATTTTAAATCAGTTATATTTAACTTGTTATATTTTCAAGGTTTTTTCCAACCGAAATCATTTTCTAGCATATTATTTCACTGAAAGTGCTAGTAAAGTACTTTTAACAGAGTTCCGGATCTCATTTAAAATGAAACTAACATGTTTCCATCTTTGGGGACAAGCAAAACATCTTAAGGGACATGTGATGCACTGAAGGAGAAAAATAATTGAAATTTGAACAAAACATTGAGTGTATGATGCATTTGCCTATTACCTTCAAACTATATAAAACAGAATAAAGCTAATAATGCAAGCTTGCATGAAACAAATCAGAAAACAAATCCCAAAACTGAGCTATTGCAAATATGAATCAGAGTAGAAGTTCACCGTTTTCAGACACTACAGGGATGGAAAAGTGGAGAGACAAGATTTGCAAGTTCAGGTGAGAGTGTAAAGGAGAGACCGATTACTCTTTTGTGAGTGATTCAGGAAATGACACCCATGGCGCTCTATCACCGTTTCTCACTTCCTCAAAAATCGCAAGTTGGCCTGCACAAGGCTAAGCTCAACACATTTCTGACAAAACATGCATATATTTAATACATGCAAAACTTTAATATTACAAGTAAAACACACACTCCAAATATTGACATATCTAAATTGTGCAACCATGAAAGCCTGTTAAAATGCAATAAATTGTTGTCAAATTTAAAATGCATTAAAATGTGCTATTTACATACAAGCTGTAAATGTGAGCTGATCTATGATCCTCACACTACACTGTTATTTACAGCTTCAGTTAATAACAACAATTAAGCAAATTAATTAAAATAAGGATTAAAAACCCTAAAGTATGAATCAACTCTCCAAACTCTAAACTCTAAAATAATACTGAGGTAAAGTTGACTTTATATTCGCACATTCGTTCGTTTTAGAACAGTGACAACTTGACATGCTCCATATATTGTTTACCATGGTATATTCGGCCTGGAATCACATGTAAATATGACTTCAAAACAACATTAGCACTATTTCACTGACTGTGAACAATGTTTCTTTAAAAGTCGTTGGCTGCTAAAATGATCTCACGGTTTAGATTTTTACAAAGAACACATTTGTACATTTTTAATATTAAGGAGGAAGTCCGAATTTGCGAATATAAACCCAACTTTACCTCAATAAACGTAACTAATGCAGATGTTTGTGAAACGGCTTCACGTTCAATTCTATGCGGTTATGCACCAATAAAAAAATGTATTACACAATCACGACGCACTTCTAAAAAAGACGTCTGATCCTTAACAGTTTTAAATGAATCTGACAAGCTGTATTAACATGTTTAAGTGGCGTTTTAGCACTTAAATGTGAGTTGCAGGCCCGTTTTGTCATGACTCTGGAGATAACCAGCAGAAACACGCGCGTCAACGCTCCGCCTCGCCTCACTTTTGCACTGATACACCCGCCCAACTGCAATACAAAACATTTAAACTTGGATTTAACGCTATATAACTCCATAATTAAATGAGCTGTGTGACTTCATTATTAAATAGATGCTAACATGAAATAAAAGAGTCGTTATTTTTAAACTAAGGGTCTATTTGAGGGCCGTTAGCTCGATGCTAACACACACAGTTAAACTGCACACAGATGTGTTACATGAAGTAAATAAAGGCGTTCGCGCATGGTTAATCTCAGTGAAAATGTCCGTGCGTTTGTGTGGAACGAGCTCGGCTATTTTGTTGTGAAAATAAGTCAGCGGAGGGGCGCGAGGATTGAAGAAATTGTCAGACAAACCTGAGGAGGCCGCCATCTTCTCCTGCCCGAATCCAAAAGCGTACGAAAGCGTGACGTCGGCGCGTCATGTGACTAATGACGCACAGTGCTGTAGCAAGACATAAAGGGGTGTGGCTCCACTGCAAAGATTTATTTTTACCAAATATATATTTTATATATCAGCAGAGCTTAAATCTGACATCTTTTATCAGCATTTCATATTGGCGCATTTTCATCACTACGTCTTAAAAGTTTCACTGTTTCATGTGAAGGAACTTAAAGAGAAAATAAAATAGTATGGTAATAAATACACTAATAGGCAACTTTATTAGGTACACTTTACTAATACCGGGTTGGACCCCCTTTTGTCTTCAGAACTGCCTAAATCATTCTGGCAACAAGGTACTAAAAATATTCCTCAGAGATTTTGCTCTATATTGACATGGTAGCATCACGCAGTTGCTGCAGATTTGTCGGCTGCACACTCATCTCCTGTTCCATCACATCCCAAAGGTGCTCTGTTGGATTGAGCTCTGGTGTCTGTGGAGGCCATTTGAGTACAGTGAACTCACTGTCATGTTTAAGAAACCAGTCTGAAAGGATTCACGCTTTATGACATGGCACATTATCCTGCTGGAAGTTGCCATCAGAAGGTGGTCATACTGTGGTCATAAGGGGATGGACATGGTCAGCAACAATACTCAGGTAGGCTGTGGCGTTGACACAATGCTCAATTGGTACTAATGTGTCCAACTTGTGATAAAAAAATATTCCCACACCATTACACCATCACCACCAGCCTGAACCGTTGATACAAGCCAGGATGGATTCATGCTTTCATATTGTTGACGCCAAATTGTGACCCGACCATCCCAATGGCGCAGCAGAAATCAAGACTCTTCAGACCAGGCAACGTTTTCAAATCTTCTGTTGTCCTGTCGGCGTAACAGCCTATTGGTTAGTGCCGACATATGGTGCAGTAGCACGTCAGGGTGTCCCGAGTTCGAATACCGGCTCGAGAACATTTCCCAACCCTACCACTCTCTCTCACTTCACTTCCTGTCTCATTTCTGTCCTATATAATAAAGACAAAAAGGCCAAAAAAAAAAAAAAATAAAAAAAAAAAATAAAATATATATATATATATATATATATATATATATATATATATATATATATATATATATATATATATTTTTATTTTTTTT